GTTAGAATTGTGTCGATGTCCCAATATTTCTGGACCTGACTGTATGAATCTGAGGCACGTCAAAAGCCTTTTCAGCATCTAACAGAATAAAACAGCTAATTCTTACATACCTGCTGCTTTGTTCAGAATATCTATCACCAAAGAATATTGTCAGATGCCTGAGATTGGTGAATTATGGATGGTATCACATTCTGTAATCTCTTGGCTAATATAGCAGCTAATATTTTAACATAAACATTAAGTAGCAATGGTGGTCTATCATTTGCAGATCTCTGGCTTTAAGATTACTATAACATAGGCCTTATAGAAAAAGAACAGAATGTATTAAGAGCAAATGAATCATTTTAACCTCTAATAATATAGGTGCCAATAAATATATAAAAGTCCTATATCATTCAGTTAGGAAGTCATTAGGACCATGAATTGGTTTGTCTCTATGACTTTTTGTAATGTCAGTGGTTGTGCCATTTTTATGTTCTTTTCTGCTTCAGTATTTTTCAAGAAATATTGAGAATGTCTCCAATTCACAGAAGTGAATGGACAGATTAAAAAAAAACAACCTGACAATTAGTAGATTCTGTCTCAGTATGAAACTGATCATCACTGGCCTGAATTCCAGAAATAAAATGTATTGTTTTGCTAATTCAGCTGATGAGCCAATAATTTTCCAGCTTTATCTCTTGATTCCCAATACTTCTAATTAATATTTTGAATGTGATCAATCAGTTTAAACTTGGTTGCCACAACTACTTTACAGTATAGAATTCATCTGTAGGATTTATGGCATAAGATAAAACTGGGTCTTTTAGCCATCTTTTCCAACTGTATAAGACTGAATTCTCTACAGCTGTTTTTTTTTTTTTTTGCAGAAGTGAACACAATTGTGGCTCCATGAATAAATGCCGTAAAAGCATCCCAAAATATTAATTTATTGGTAGAACCTCTGTTTATTTATTTATTTTAAAGACAAATTTCCTTTCTATATTCCACAAAAGAGAGATCTCTTTTTCAGGTACCATTTGGGATTAGCTGGTTTTTAGTTTTTAATTTCAGTTTTGCACAAACAATCTCTTTGTTTAGGTGTAACAAATGCCAACTGTCTAGTAACTTTGTTCCAAAATATCTGCTTGTTGTTGTTCGGTCGTTAAGTCGTGTCTGACTCTTCGTGACCCCATGAACCGCATCGCGCCAGACCTTCCTGTCCTTCACTGCCTCCCTGAGTTGGCTCAGTTTCCTGCTCATTGCTGCAGTGATGCCATCTAGCCATCTCGTCCTCGGCCGTCCCCTTCTCCTTTGGCTTTCCATCTTTCCCAGCATCCGGGTCTTCTCCAAAGAGTCCTCTCTTCGCATTGGGTGGCCAAAGTATCTGAGCTTGAGCTTCAGTATTGATCCTTCCAATGAGCAATCAGGGTTGATTTCCTTATCTGCTTCTAGCAACTTCCAATTTTGCAAACAGGTAGTAGATTTTTTAAAGGTTTTCTGGCCATTTGAGAATCTAAAATAATACTGAAATTGTCAGCAGCAATTAACAATTGATAAATTACAGAATATATCTAGAAAAATGTTTATGAAGAATTTCAGGAGTATTCTTAGTAGAGCCATAAAAATAGAAGAGACTCTCTGCAGCTCAGGGCTGGACCACGGAGTCCTCGGTGCTCTCTGAGCCGGGTGGTTTGCTCACAGGCGCTTCATGACCCGACTAGGCGGCATCGTCAGGGCTGGTGAGTGTGGGGTTTGCTCCCTGTTTATATACAGTGGCTTGCCCTGCCCATATTG